CCCCAGTGCTTCTCTCTGTGAAGTGCGCTCTGGATGGGGTCTTGGGTGTGTTAATCTTCCTCAGAAGCACGTGTGGGTCATGTCCCCTGACCCTCTTCCTCCATGATCATGTTTAGGCATGTTGTACATAGAGGGCTTGACAAGTGCTTTCTTTCCTGTGAGATGGGGTATTGGGATTGCTGCTTGTCCCTGTGCAGTAGTCTTACAGACACACGTCACTCAAAATTGGAGAATAAAGGTGGAAGGAGCCTCTGGAGATCTCTAGTCCAACCCCCTGCTCACAGCGTGGCTAGTTCTAAAGCTAGATGAGATACCTCAAGGCTTTGCGCAGGCAAGTCATGAACATCTCCAAGAGTGGAGATTCCCCAGCCTCTCTTCTACAGCACCTGTTTCAGTGCTGTACCACTCTTGGGAGGGTGAAATTTTTCTTTGTATCTAGCCAAAATTTCCCTTTCTGCAGCTTTCGCCTGTTGCCTCTTGTCTTTTCAGTGTGTCCCTCTGAGAAGAGACTGCCTCCATCTTCTCTATAACCCCCTTTTAGGTGACAGAAGACTGTAGTTAGATCCTACTTTGGCCTTCTCTAGGCTAAAGAAGCCCAGCTCTTTCAGCATCTTTTTCTAAACCATGTGCTCCAACACCTCTGCCATCTGAAGACCTTTCACTCCAGTTTGCTAGTGTCCCTTGTGTACTGGGGGACTCAAAATGCTGCTGCATTCCAGATGTGGCTTCATGTGCTGAGTAGAAGGAAAGAATTGCTGCACAGGTGTAATCCCAGCTTATTTTCTCTTTACATGAGAAAACCTGTTCTTTTCTTACATGTGTGACCAGGACAAAACACAGGTCTCTTCTTCTGTACTGTGTACGTGTATCATTTCTTTAGAGTGTCTTTGTACGTAAGTATTCTAACAGGCTTGTCTTTCACTTGCAGCTGGCCCAGAATGGGGACGTGGACTGGAGAGACGCCAAATTGCTTCTGCAGGCCAGTGAGAAATCACGGCAAATCATAGAGTCCTATTTTACTCCTGGAAAGAAACTCCATTTCTCATTCACACACCTTGTGTGCCGCACAGCTGTAGACGGTAAAGAACCTTTCACCTTGTTAGTCTCTGTCTCCTGGAGAGTGTCCTCAGTCCCAGCCATGTGCTCTCAGGAGACTCTCATCCCTTTCCTCTCACTGTGCCCCTTTCATTCTGATGTATGCTTTCTTGAAACTGAAAATGCCCATATTCTTTTTTATAACTTCACTTTTCAGAGGAACAGGAAGGTCGCATGGATCTTAGTCATCCTGTCCATGCTGATAACTGTCTCTTGGATCCTGAGGGGCAAGAGTGCTGGCGAGAACCACCTGCCTACGTGTACAGGGACTACAGGTAAGAGAAGAAGGGGATCTGCGTTAGATCATGTGGAGATCAAAACGTCTCCCCAGCCCTGTCAGAGGATGATCTCAGCTTAAGGAAACCAGGTAGTGGGCTGTTGGCTCAAAGCCAGCCAGGGCTGTAGCATCAGGCAGCAGGCTGCATCAGTGGCTTCCAGAATGAGGTGTGAAACACCTTCCCTAGGCTGGGAAAAAGATCTGCCCTTTCTCCCTCCTCCCTCCTCTTAGCCAGCATTATCAGAGAGCTGAACAAGGCTGGATGACTGCATTAACTAGAACCATGATATCAAATTGTTGTCTTGTGGTCTACCACAGTACTACACTCCACTGACAGTCTGCTGCTTCTAATCAAATTCCGTCTTTCACAGTCTTCCATGCATTATAGGAGAGGGAGAACCAAACTCCTTGGATTTCCTTTGTTTGAGCAGCCAGTGTACTTTGGTGACTATTCACTTTGTTCATCTCTCTCAGGATTCACTGCCAATGCTTTGTGTTGGGTTTTTCCATTCCACGTGAGGGATTTTTTCCAGCCTGTGGTAGGTTTTGTTGCTCTCTTGTGAAAGAACCTGAAATATATTTTAAAGATGGTAACAGTTGTTGCACGGTGCAGCCAGATGAGGTCAGTTCACTACAGTTGATTCCTCCTATTTACCATCTCATCCCTGGGCATCCAGAAATCTTATTTGCCTTTTATTTGAGTGATAGCTGTACCCAGAGCCAAAATCTTCTCTGAGCAGCCTGTGGTAAGGATGTGGGACTTAGAGGGAGTCAGTATCATTGAATCCATTTCCCTTCTGACATAGGTGTTGACATGGTCAGATTGTAAATTTACCAGGCTCTGTCATGTAACTAGTTAGATCTCTGTCCCTCCTGTGGGAAAGCTGTCCTGTTGCCTCACTCATCCGTGGGTAGCGGGCTTCTCTGACTTCTACTTGAATGCATGTTAAAATGTCTTTCTGGGATCTGTGCCACTGAGCTACTTCCAGGAGTATTCCTGCCCTCTTGCAGAGTGAATTGTGATTGACCAACTGACTCACAAGGGCTGAGCTCTTCCAGTGTCCTTTTGAAAGAGGTCTCTGTGCTCCAAACTTCCTGGATCTCTTCTGTGTGTTTGTGCTGTGGTCATTAAAGAAACTACTGAACAGGATTGGGCCAAGGGGTCTAAGAGTCCCAGTGATCCTCCTCCAGGCGAACAGTACTCCTTTCGGTGCCCGTGGTGCACTAGTCAGTGTGTGCTGTTCATGCACTCTTCACCTTCCCTGTGTTCATTAGTGATTTCCCTAGGGCAATGTTATGAGTACTTCTACCAGAGTCCGAACTGCTGATATTGAGCATGTTGTCTTTCCCTGGGAAAGCAACTGTTTTGTTGAAGATTGTGTGGCTAGCCCAATCTGCTTTCAGTACCCCCATGTTACATTTTAAGACCATTTTCCATTTATCTCTTGTCCTTCAATTATCTTTCTCCTCAGAAATGAAGTCTAAAGCCCTGCAGACTGATGAGGTCAGGCTAACAGGGCTGTTTATGCTTCAACTGTTATCCCTACCCTCCTGCCCTTTCATGCTTGTGAGAGCTATGCTTGCTTTTCTCCAGTCATGTTACCACCCTCACTTCACAGTGTTATTAAAACCCTATGGCAGAAGAGCTACAACTTCCTGGGTTTCAAGGCTGGTAATCCTCTCACTGTCCTTATGTCCTTAAAGTTTTGCTTCAGCAGCCACAATGTTGATTTCTATTTCTTTCTCCCAGTCCCCTTAATGAGCCTCTCTTGTTTGTCTGATGTTTTCTATCAACTTAATTGAATACCCAGAGGAACACAAGTAGCTTGAGGTCCATTCTTTCATCTAGTTGACCGTCATCTCACCTGCACTATGCAGTGGCCTCGCTACTTCTCTTTTTGTCTAGCATTAGTGAAGAAATATCTTGGTTTAATTCTCTTTTCTGCATGCACTAAGCCTCTTTTTGACCATTCTTATGTTACCCTGAAATTCCTTGACCCTTAAGACATGGCTTTCTTTGCTGAGCAATCTCCTCTTCCAGGCTTTGGATTATTCCCAATCTTAAAACATAAACAATGTCATGCCAGGTCAGAATGAAGGTCTGTCTAGCCTGGGGCATTGTCACAATGGTGCCACAGATGCATGCTGCAGGGGATTAAAAACAAAACAAAACAAAACAGGACAAGCACGTAGAGCTAACTCCCTGGCATACTCTCCTGGCCTCCTGTGGTTTGCAGGTCAGGGACTCCCCTGAGCTAGCCACCGCTGTATTTAACACCCCCAAATGGATTCACCCGTTAACTGGTCTGCTTGCTTTTTAAACCTGTGGTATCCACAGCCTACTCTGACAAGGAGTGTGTGGAAGCATCTGGGAGGAATGAGCTTCACCGTCCATGCGTCTTCTTTATTTTTGTCCACAGTGGCATTCTCTACCTCAATGATGACTTCCAAGGTGGAGGCCTTTTCTTCACTGAAATGGACACTGTGACTGTCACAGTAAGTCTGGGACTGGCCAAAAGCAGGAGAGAAGACTGTGGGTGAGACTTAGTCTGGGTGGGAGGAAACTAGTTCATTATTGGATCCCACCACTCCAAAAACAGTTCAGTGCTGGTGCTGTGGCAGATTCAAATAGGGGCAGCTAAAGGCAAATTGAGGCAAATCTCAAAGCAGAGGTTAACTCCTTCATAGCTGAGATGTTCGAGGCTTTTCCTGTCTCTGTGAGTCTGTGTCCTGTGTTGGCCCTTTGATTCTCTCGGTCCCTCCCCAAGGTCTATCTTGCTCACAGACTGGCAGTGGATGCCTTGTAGCTCTCTGCTATTCCATGTTCCCGGAGACAGTGTGACCTCTGTAGAAGGACTGTGTACCCCTGAGCAAGGGACTGGTGGCTTCATTGTGTCTTCTCTCTCTCCTGGCAGGCCGAGGTGCATCCTAAGTGTGGGAGGCTGGTAGCCTTCAGCTCTGGCAAGGAGAACCCCCATGGCGTGTGGGCAGTGAGCCGCGGAAGACGCTGCGCCATTGCTCTGTGGTACACACACTCCCAGGAACATGCTGAGCAGGTAAAGGACCATGCTGGAGAAACAGATATGAGTACCTCCAAGCTAGATCAAATCCCCCCAAGGAATGGCTTGTGGGCTTTCCCATGGGGCAGGACCTAGTGCAGCAGCTGGAGGTTGTCCTCTGACAGCGCACCTGGTGAAGGGGCCAGCCTGTGCTGGGTCCTGCAAGAGAGAATGGGCTCTGGAGGGGTTGGATGGATGTGGCAAAGATGAGATGTGTCTTGGCAGCCTCTGCAAACAGAGCCAAGACCCTAGCAGGGAGGGATTCATATCATCTCTGTCTCCATGGCTGCAGGAACGGGTGAAGGCAGAGGAGCTGATGGAGCAGAGGGCTGTGAGGCAGGACCGGCCTGATGGAGAAGAACGTCGGGGGGCTGATCACAGTGGCAGATCCTCCTCAGAGCCTCCCATTCCCAACAGTGGAGCCAGGCCCACAAGCCAGAGACCCAAGCCTGGCTCAGACAGGACACAGCACCCCAAGGAGCTGCGGGCCAGAGATGAGTTCTGAGTACACAGGGCCCCGGAGGCAGGGCTGGCACACACCATGGCCTGGCAGGTCACGGTAGCACCAGAACCACAGAGGCCTGGAGCAGTGTATTAGCATGCTAGAGCCATAGTGCTGGGGAGGGATGCAGCTTTCTTCTCTGTGACATCCCAGCAGCTGAAAAATGGCAACAGGGACAGAGTATTAAAGGCAGTGACACCAGGAACTTTCTTTACTGCCTCACCAACGTGTTTGTGTCACTCAGAAGTAAGAAGGCAGGGTCTCCTCACCCCACTCCTCTCAGTGCCAGCTTCTTGGTCATCCAGGGCCAAATCTGAGATGGGGAGGAGCAGCCTGGGGTCTTTCAGCAAGGGTTGTCCACATTCAGGAGCTCAGAATTTTCTGAATATCCTAGGCACCTGCAAACTCCAGAACTTCGCAATTGGTCTGAGAGAGGGAAGGTGAGAGACTGTGAATATATGGAATAAAAGCAAAATGCTGGACACAGCTGTTGGTGGGAGCTTGAATCTGTACACCAGGAGGAAGGCACATACTTGTTGCTGATGGAAATTTAATTAACAAACGATGGAAGGAGATTGAGCCCTCAGTGAAAGAAAATAAACTATTTGCCCAGATGCCAGCTACTTCCAATGAGGGACAGCAAGAGAAAGTCAGCTCTGCCATGACTAACCCCTGGAAAGGGTGGGGAATGCCTTTAAGGAAAAGCACTGTATGCTCACGTTTCCCTGCAGCCAGGCCTCTCTTCCCTGCCCCCCTCCACACACCATATTGCCCCTGAAAGCAAAAGAGATACTTTGTTTATCGTTTCCCACCCTGATACAAAGACAATCTGCTGTCACTGCCCAGGGGATTAGTGTCCTGAGATGGGATTATGTTGTAGCCAAACAGGAATTGAATGGAGTGGATGGAGTATCAAAAAGAGCAATGACCCTTTTCCTGGGAAGCATTAGAGCCAGAGATCAATCTGTGGTCATGACATACTCAGGCCTTGATGAGAATTGTGCATGGAGACCCCAACTACAGTTCAGATGGAAGAAATCTGTAGGGCCAGGGCCACTGGTGTAAGAGGGGGGTGTGTGATCCCCTCGTCGCTGTTGGCACAGGGGCCCTGCTTTATGGGAAGGGAGATCTTTCCTCAGTCTGAATTCCGACGCTTCTTTAACATGCAAACTTGGGAAACCTGCATTGGCAACCCTTCTTGCCTCCCATCCTAACCCCGATCACAGGAAAAACACGATTTGATGTGAAGATTTCAAATTCCTCTCACTGGCGAGAGGTCTGTCACATCCTAGCACTTGCACATCCATCCTGATGATTTACGTGGGGGCACTGGATGGTTCCTGCTTGATGAGGACATGTTGGGGGGTGAGGGGCCAGTGTCCACATCTCTGGCTTGCTTTGCTCAAAGGTGGCTTGGGTGATTAGACTGATGGCCTCCTGACGTCAGATGAGATCCGTTAAAAGGTATTTATCTCAAGCTTGGGCCAAAGCTGCGGGAGAGATTAAAAGAGATTGAGGCCAAGATAATCCCCTCGCAGCATCCCACTAAAGTGGCTGCCAAAAGGCACACCACCAAATCTTTTGCCACCCCTGGCCCCTGTGCCCAGTTCTGTTTTCCCCATGCAGAGCCCGGTTTGCTGCCCAGAAAGGGTGTGATCCCAGCCCTGCCATGGGTTCTACCTTGGCAGGGCCACCGTGGGTAGCACCATCCTACTTCCCATCCCGCCCAGGACACACATGGCATGCTGCCCCTGGGAAAATGGGAATTCCTGTGGACTGTGAGGTGCAGCAAGCCCTGCCCCAGTGGCTGATAATCCTAGCCTGTTCTGGCTAATCTTCACTTTATTAGTTTGTTGCTGATATAATCAGAGGGAGTCAAATCCGGCCATGATGGTTTCTTTCCCTTCAGGAGCAGCATGCTACTCTCTCTTTTCACCCCTCCCCATCCACCTGCTTTGCATTACGTCCCAATCCGATTTCCCCAAGTCTCTGGTGTCTGATTTAATTTGCCTGACGCTGCTCCTGGAATCAGCCCTCCCCCAACCCCTCCCGTCCACAGCCTTGCAGCTCCCCATGGGGAGATCAGTCCTGGAGAGGCTGAGGAGCAGAGAGGGAACAAGGGACTCGCTGGGTGGACGGACAGGACTGACTGGAGACTGCAGAGGGGCAAGGGACTTCTGGCTGGTGGGGAGGCATTCTCAGCAGGAGAGGCAGGCCGTGAGGGTCCCATCCAGAGGGGACTGCAACCCACCTTGTGCTACAGATCCCGGTAAGGATGCTGCCTTGTCGTGATGGCTGAGGTCACCTTGGTGAGCCTGGCACTAGGGATCATGAGTTTCTTGGTGTGATTCTGTGGGGGCTCTTTGTACAAGGGCTGATCCCATCAGAGGCTGTGGGAGGGAAGATCACGGTGGGGAAGGAATTTGGGTTAGTGCTGAGATCTCTTTACAATGATGAGAGGCTTTGCACTGGGATGGGGTTGCTTGTTCTCCCCTTGGCAGGTGAATTCCACCAGTTTCCAGACTGAAACAGGAGGATAACACCTTCCCTGAGGGACCCGGCACTCACTACCCATATGCAGTCCTGCATTCGCGGTGCACCCCTGTGCACACATCTGCAGCTGGCTGCTTTTCTGGATGGAGAAGGAGCCCTCAGAAAGGAGAAGAGCGGGGTAATTTTACCCTGGTCTTTGATCTCCATCACAGGAGAGGTGGGGGGGATCATCTCTGTATCCGGCTCTGCAAGGAGCCCAGGGTCACCAGGGCGAGCATGCAAGGCCAGCCAGGGATTACACAGAGACCCAGGGATGCTGCCTGTTAATACTCAGTCCTCCCTCCTGCACCTTTCCCTTTTCTATTTGTAGCCTCCTCCCAGCATCCCACAGAGGGTCCACTACCTCCCCAGTGTGAGAAAAGCTACCCAGAGGATAGGAAATAAAGGAGTTCACCTCCCCTTTCTTCCCACCCATCACTTGTGACCTGATCCCCACAAGAAAGTGATGCAGGTGGCTTGGTAGGACAGACTCTGGGGTGTAGGCTAGGCCCCCAACTGGCATGGTGCAAGGGACATAGCTACTGCCCTGAAAAGTCATGGTGTGGCAGCAAAAGGCAGAAAGTGGATGATTCCAGACCCGCCCCCTGCCTCAGTCTTGTGCCGCAGTAGAGGCATTTGGTCTGCTGTGAGCAGAAATCCAAGGGCTCAGGATGGGTCTGGTTGCCCACAGACAGGAGCGCTACAGAAGGTGTCTCCAGCAAGTTTGTCAGAAAAGGCAAGAAGAGAAAGAACTGTCATGTTGGAGGGCAAAAGAAATGAAACGTGGTTTCAAAAGCCAAGAACAGAGAACTGGGTGAACACAGCCAAGGCAGAGGTCTGAAGAGGGCTGGCATGAACCAAGTCCAGGCTCTTTGGCTGTGCCATGCTCCTCAGTGATGCTCATAGGAGGCACAACTCTGGACCACTGCTGATGCCAAGGTCCTCCTGTCAGCAGGTCTTTACAATACTGGACTGGTGGTGGTGAATTGCTTTTTCAAATGTAGCTAAGGACTGCAGTCCTTAGCATCTACTTCAAAGAGCCCTTACTTCCAGAAAACACTGACCATCCATCATTTAGAAGCCTTTCCCATTAAAACCAGGCTAGGCAGCTAGCGTGAGCAACCATGAGCTGATCTGTGGATCCACAAGAATTGTGCCTCCCTAAGGTCCCACTGGTCAGAGCAGGAACGCGCCTTGGCCAGACTCCAAACTCCACTGCCCTTTCCTCTGTTCTTCCACCATTTGGTTCCCCCATTTCCTGTCCTAAATTTACATAATCATGATGAGCTGCTCTTTTGCACACCTGCTGTGGGTCTCCTGGGAAGCAGCTGCATTCTGCTGGGGCCCAGGTAACTCACTCTCCACAAATTGCACTGGGATGTGATGGGTGGAGGTGACAGGTGAAGCTGGAGCTATTATTATCACTCATCTGTGGCTCCTTGTCCTTCTGGGGCTGAGAACAATTCCCAACTTCATTTAGCATGTTCCCTCAAAGGGATTTAAAGGTTTGGACAGAGTCCTGAACCTGAGCTGCACCTTCTCTATATTTAGCCCTTTTTATCCGTCCTCGACATTGTGCCCCTGCCCTTTGATCTGCCTACTGGCTCCGAAAGCCCCTCGTCTCGTTGTGCAACTTCACAGAGCAGGTGCCTGTGAACTGGTGCTCCCATGCTAGGGCCAGAGTTGAGAAAGAAACACCCAGGGAAGGGAAGAGAATAGTAAAAAAGCAGGAGAGATGCAAGGAAGACTGAGGGTCCAGTGGGTAATGAGGAGGGCGTGTGAAGCCAGCTTTAACTGGGGCAGAAACTGGAAGGAAGACAGAACAAGACTCCCATCTTCATGTAGGTCTGGGTGGGCAAAACCAGAAGTTCGCGAAGACAGATTAGGGTAGATGGATGGACAATGATTTCAGGTGGCCAAAGATGTGTCAAATAACAGCCTGGAGAGCTTGGGGACCAAGCAGAGGGGACTGGAAGGAGAGAGTGTCACGAGTCCACTGAGTGCTGTTTTCAGACCAACTCTTACAGGGAGTCAGAGGGAAGCCGTGGCCCAGCAGGAAAAGGCAATCCAATGCTTAGGGCTGATGGAAGGGAGGTAGGATCAGTCCTAGGGAAAACTGAGAAAGGTGAAGGTGTGGACCACAATGGTACAGTTGGTCTCTGCAGGGTGGCTGGAAGTTCAGGTTTGCTAGTTGGTGTGCTGGATGCAGTCTCCCCAGCTTGACTGTACACCAAAGCTGAGGGGCAAATGCCACCTACTGAAAGCTGCAAGCCCTTGCCCAGCATCTCCGCAGTCGGTCAGTTAGCTGAGAGAAGGCATGGGGTGCCCAGACCCTTCACAAAGGAGAAGTGCATGCAGGCGAGCTTTTGTGGCCAACATCACTCAACCAGGTGCAGATACGTATACTTGCTGGCAGGAACTCCCTCATCACTGTTCTGTCAAAACAAGAGAATTAAAAAACAGTGGAAAGGACCCAGTTCAGGTGCTGGTCTGTCCCCATCCTTCAGCGTAGCTGAGGCT